TGCACCCAGTTTACTTGGAGATGGTAAACAGTCTGGCTGGTAAAAAGGGAGTGTGCTGATAGACTCAAAGCGTACAATCAGCCGTAATTGGTATTGTGGACTCTGAATCTATCTGATTACTTACCTGGGAGATGATGACAGGCTCGTAATAATAAGTACTATTTTGGTTAAATGATACGATATGGATCACGTTCACCTCGTCTTGTCTTACCTGACAAGTCTGAGTCTATTTCTGTGTCATGTATAATCATAGATATTAGCCAAATAAGAGAGATTCCAAACACAAAAATCAACAGGGGCTTTGCATACTTACGTTCTCATGGTCTTTTTTTTTTTTTAGAGCCCAGTAAATCTTTTACAATGTGTTAGAGCTACGGCTGTTGCCAGAATCCTGGGTTTTAAGATGTTAAAATGAAAGAATTAAATTCCCCAGCTCGTCGGCTGGTACAGTACTTAAACTTGCCATATGATGTATAGGTTTTAATCAGAAAGCTGGTGTAAAGTTAAATGTAGAGACTTGCAATTTATCTGCAATTACAGCAGTTTTACAGAAAACGGCACAAATAGGTTGTGTAAATGCTGTCTAAACATTGTCTTTGTTTGCTTTGCAGTACTGCGAATGTTAGGATTAGAAACGGCAACAACAAAAAAAGTTTCTGCTATGTAAACGGGACTTCCCCTAAACAATGAGCTTTATTAATGGTTCGGTTTGGCGCAGGAACCCTTAATGAACAAAACAGCAGCGGGCCTCGTCTTTCAACATCCCCATTTTTTGAAAGGGTGTTGAAAATGAGGCTCGGCTGCAGATGTCTCATACCGCTAGTTATCCAGAGGAGGTCTTGTTTCAAACTTTCAAACATTCCTGTAAATGTATTTTACTGACACAGACAGTTCGGGCGAATTCTCTCTGAATCACATTAGTGGGAAATGTGACGCTTAATAAATGCAACGTCCTTTGAACTGCACATGTGTAAAAGGAAAAATAAAGAGGACACAACCCGGACCCTCACTCACCCACCAACACACAACCCACATGTACTGAAATGTGTTTGTGCGCAGCTGTACCCAACGTTTCCTCACTTTATCTGTGTTCCATCCCAGTACTTTTCCACTAATGCCTAACTCACAATTGCACAGCGCCTGAGCCTGGAGACCCCCCCTATTCCTCCGCCCTCCTCTCCAAACACAATTTAAGAAATTTACAGTGAGTTAACCATGCAGGACATTGTATATATCTCGCTCTCACACACACACACATACGTAGCCGACTTCATATGGAGCTTTTTTTGGATCAACAAGTTGCAATCGGCACAGATGGTTTATTCCTCAGGAGCATTTGTTGATTTTGCCTCGGCTTCATATAATTCTGATATTTATTTACCACACGGTATCTGTTTCAAAACTACATTGCGAGACGACCAATCAATTAATAAGGCTGTAAACAAATCCCCTCATACCAAAACCAACAGTGAATAGGTTTCACTTGCCAAAGTCTAAAGCTGCTGCTGTGCTTGACACATTGCTCACTGTATACGCAAACCATGACGTCAACACAACCCCGCAACCTTCTGTGCTCACACTTTAAGCGTGCTTGACTTGCCACAGACTTCTCCAATACAATAGGCGTAGCAATGAAAGAAGTAATGAACGGGAAGAGTTTCCTTCAAACACTAACACAATGGTAGGTTTTTCCACTGCAAAACATCTCATCTTTTCCAAGTTTTTTTTTTTTATTTTGCAGGAATATCCCATCTCGAGTCATCTGGGAATCCCTGTGTTCCCATGTTGATAGATTGTAGAGAAACACACATTTGTGACTGCAGCTCACCCGTTTTGCACATGCAAACGACACCGATCGTTGGATATCCAGGCTCAGGCACACAGAAACCACAACAAAGTGCATTTTACCAGCAGTGATGACGTCACTTTTGGCCCGCGCCACTATGTGTGAGGGCATAAACGCTACTTAATAAGGCTAATTTGTCTGTGCCACATGTCTCTGTTATTATCCCAAAATGATTAAGCCGCATTATTGTGCTGGGTGACATGCTCCTTCACTGAGATGAACATAGGCGGTGTTACTTGTTTTAGCTCCACAAGTGCCAAAAATACACAGTCCAAAGGTGTCTAAATCCACACCTGAACATTGTATATATCAGTCAAATTAATGAGGAAATAATAACAAAAAAAAGATTAACTAAACGATATATTTGTTGCCCATTTTAACATCTGAACAGTTGCTTTGTTTGGACTAATTTCATTGGCTTAGTAATAATAAAAACAACATGTCATTTCAATGAATGGTTTCCAATGTTCCCACCATCTTGGACAGTCTCTAGGACGGCCTAACAAAAGTAACACAAATGAGAAAAGAGTACAAGTAAGTTGGATATAGGGAGAAAAAAAGAAAAGGTTTTAGAATAAACATTATTCTGCCTGTTACCATTTTAACTGGATGTCTTGTGGGACGTTGGTTACAAGGGTGGCACACATAGATTAAGCGGTAAATGACTAACTAAGTAAATAGGTAAATAGTGCATCAGTGACAGACAAAACAACTGCTCGTAGAACTGCCACATAAACCAACGGCCTCCAAACCACGGGCACCAGATATGACCACACATAGGCTGGCCTCAGGCATTCGGGTTCTTGCAGGACTGTAAACACTTAATTTAAGTCCTTTGTTTGGTCAGGACCAGTGTGTGCTGTGGTAATGGCTAAATCACTATCTGTCACTGGGCACCCTGCAGTTAGTGGCACGCTCCGGTTTACTTTGGTAGAAGAGCTGATCGGTGGCGGATGAAGAAGTTCTCAGATCTTTTTACTTAAGTTAAAGTCGCAAGACCACAATGTAAACATACTCAGATACAAGTAAAAAAGTCCAGCGTTCTGGACTTTACTGAAGCAGGATTATGTGAGTATTATGAGCAAAATTCAAGTATTTAAGTCTTCACGAGGCATCAGAATGGTGATCTGTCTTTATGTTATACGAGTTGACTATTGATGCATTAACAAGCGAGCAGCATTCAAACAGTGCAGCTGACTGACCTAGCAGACCTGATTTTGCTCATAATATATACGCTTAAGTGGCTTAATTTACTATGTAGCAAGTCCTTGTGTTTTATATCGTTCACTATATTCTGGTTTTTAAGCTTTTTGAAGTCCTAATCTGCTGTAAAGTAACTCCTCGTTACATCTGAATAAATGTAGTGAAGCTAAAAAGTATTTCCTCTGAAATGTAGTGGAGTCGAAAGTGTCTTAAAATTAAAATATTCCCGCAACAGTGCCTTTGAATTATGAGTACATTTAGTTAATTACATCACTGGACCTCATTTCCCATCTCAAACACCAAACATACCCTAAAGCATGGGTATTCATTGGGTTAAACCCAGCGTGCACTACTTTGAAAAAACTTGCACTCTGCAGCTGACTCTTATTAATCAAAGGAGGAAATGACCTAAAACAACCTGCCTTTGCATTTCAAATACCCAGCACACTTTATCCCTCCTTCTGACTTTACAAATACATCAGGCTTAAAACATTTTTCTGCCTTTTGATAAAGCCATTCCTGTGAGAATCTGCTTGTTTAGTAGCTACGGAGCTTTTCCTGCATGCCTGGTCGGGATCAATGTCACCTTTCAGAGGGTCTGGACACTGGGCAGTTCAGGGGAAACGATGGCCACAAAGGGCTCTTTCAGCAGGCACAGAGCCGTCCCCCAGTCTGACCTAAATCTCCTCCTTCCCTCTCCCTGCGTCGACTCTGCTTCGTAGCAGCTACTCAGACATTCAGCCTTCATCCTGGCTTCACAGGGAAGCAGAAACGAGGGCCTGGTGAGGGAGTCAAACCTGCAGGGTAAAAAACATGGCCCTCAGGGGGGAAGAGGCAAGTCTCTGGAGGCTTTGGGTGCTAGAAACTAATGAGATTTGATAGGAAGGAGAGACCTCAGATAGTGTTTCATAAGTGAAGTACAAGACAGAGGTGGATATTGTATTTAGTCTCTACATGGTGCACACTGAGAGGCTTTAAATGCTTTAAAAAAATCACAGATTGTTGAGTGTTTCTGCCTCAGCACTTAATCATGCTTCATCAGATTGCTCAGTCCAAATGGCTGATTAAAACGCTGGCAGGATTATGATGAATGAGCACCGCTTTCTAAAGGATGACAGTTCTGGTGGAGGCTCCACCCTCCGAACGTTTCCCCCTCTGCTCTGTCATCAGTTTTAAAGCCCCCGTCTGTACAACTTTCATAAGGTTACATGTACATGTTTACACTCGGCCCCTAAGGTAAACTGAACTACATTTGCACTGATGTACATCATCGCACCACACCCCCAAAACACTCCAGCGCTTCTCTTTCGCAGCCGAGCGTTACTTCAGCTCCGGGTCAGGCCTGATTGATTCTCCAGGTGAAGTGTTCAGACTTGGGAAACGAACTGATACGTGAGTGATAACACAATAGAAGTCTGTCTGCAGCCGTGATCACATCCAGACATTGTTTCACCGCTGCCAGAAGAATCCACAGAGAGAGAACTGAATGTCTTGATGTTGGATTATTCACTATCTGAAATTACAGTTTGCTGTTTGTAAAGGAAGCCTGACCAGTGTGTGCTTTAAACGCACAATTGCAACTCACAATCGGAATAATAAATAGAAAATTATTCATTTTTTTAATACAGAATTTTATTACATTTTAACAATAACTTAAACAACTTTATTTGCAGAGTTTCAAAATCCAGTCACACACATCTGTCAAAAAAAAAAAGAAAAAAAAAGAACACATTGCAGAAATATTTTCCATCAGGCGAATGAATGTTGTTGATTTCCAATAAAGAGAGAAGGAAAACCTTTCAAGTAAAACAGAATATTGAACTTCATCCCAACAGAACTCATATTGAGCTCTGTCTATTTGTTGTTGTTTTTTTTTTTGGAGTGCAAAATTACAAAAATAGATTTCTTTTTTTTTTTTTCACTGGGCATAAATCAAAGTTTAATTTAATGAAAATTCTGAATAAATCCTTTCAGGGTAGAAAAAAAAAAAAAAAAACAACAACAACTCTTAAACACTTTTAAATAATTGGCATGAACGGCGAATGCAGTAACGCGGAATGTTGATGAGCACCAGTAGTAGTTTCTGAAGCATCGCGTCAATGCGTTCAGTGACATTTTTACCTGAAACACAGTTCGATACACAGTGACCATCTTGCACACTCGCGTGCTACAGCTATTTGTTAGCGAAGCTCCCAGTGTGAATGAATGGACGGTTACCATGACAACGTTAAATCAGCATTAGGAAAAGCACGACAACCTACAGTATGGATAATCCCTGGAAAGATGTTGGTTTTTGAAAAACAATAGCGATCAAAGGGGTGGTTTTTTTCTTCCTCATTTGTGTATCTTAAATGTTAATTTGTCACTTCCCTCGCCGCTCTACACTCTGTTTGACAGAGATTCTTTTAATGCAATTAATTATTCTTTTAAAGCAGTTGCTTTAAAAAAAAAAATGCATCAGCAAAACATCTGGCGCACAAAACAACATATGACATAAACAAACACTTTGGGAGGGGGAAAAAAAAAAAGAAGAGGCAAAGCACGGTTCAAAAGACTATTTTACATTATTGTCACGTGGTTCAAGGGTCGATGAAAGACACTGCGATGTAGCGGGTGCCGTTGGTGGTGGGGAGGCCTTCGTGGAGGTGAGTCAGTCGACCCGGGTGCATGAAGCTCCAGCCTTTCCTGGGTGACTCTATGGAGCAGTTGTACCTGTGGAAACGGCAGCCTCCGCCCTAAAATAAGGGGAGATCGAAAGGCCAAATTAGAACAGAAAATTGGATTATAAACTGTGAAATCCTGTGAGGTTAGGAGTATTAGGGAGGAAAATAAATAAGTGGAAAAGTTAAGATGAAATCACATTTGATGACATCCAGATGTTCCAACTCGAGACTCATCTCCCGTAATACAAACCCTTACCTGAAAGTCTGAGTCTTTGTTATTGAGGGCGATGTTGATGGTGAAGGTGGAGGAGTCGTGGTGGGGCCTCAGGTACGCCTGCCTCTCAGGTGTATATTTTACCACAAAGTTCATTAAAGCGTAACCCTGCCGCACAAAGAAACACATCATAGTTAGTTGACAGTTAGTGTATCTTTGTCCGAAGGAGAATCTGTCCACAACTACCAAAGAATGTCGCATGCATGTGAAAACAGGCCAGAATTTCCACAGTTTGAGCTTTTGCGCAAACAGAGGTGGGGTTCAGCGCTTTTTCTTTTGTTTCACTAACCTTCGTGTAATAACCAGAGAACACTTTTAACGTGACGGGTGATATGAACTCTCTGATGAAGTGCAGCCACTCTTTATCAAACCCGATTTGCTTCATGTGAATGTCATCCGTCGGCACGGTCTCGTAGCCTCCGGCGATTCGCTTGTCCTGGGAGGGGGGGAAAAAAAAAAAAAAAAAGGAGAGAAAATAAAGCGGGCCGCGGTGTGATTAACGATGGAACAAATGACCCGCCATTCCCCAAAGTGCGCGACCGCGGTTTTCAAAGCGATGATGATGATGTGCCTGCGAGAGTGCATGTGTGTTTCAAACCGCAGGCTGCGCCGTCGTCGGCCCGTGTGAGGCCCAATGACCCGTGCGGGGGAGAGTATCTGTACGCATTCGGTCTCGCAGGCAAACTTTGCGACACATTAATTGACCAATTTCAAACTACATAAAACAGGCCACATGAATTAGACGCCATAAAAGTAAAACGCAACATCATAACCCTTTATTTTGTTGTATTTAAAGGGTGGACCTGGAGAGGATGGTAATAAAATTGTACTCTATACACTAATCTCGTGTTTATGTGTGAGATTGTGTCTGACATGAAGATTTAAAAAGTAGTAGGCCCACTTACAATACATCTGGCGTACATTTAACCCCACGAGTGGCTATAAAAGGTATCTTGAAAGTAGCAGATGATTCCGTCATCCAAGACAACAAAGGGACGGTTGCTCAAATAAACTTTACAGCACAGCATGATGCATTGTTTCCTTTATTCCACTTCTTTGTGTTGGTGTTTGGGTCTGATAAAGCACATCTAACAGAGCACCACTATGATGCATTAAGGGGTTTTATATCTACTGTAATTATCTAACTCAGGCGATAGAAAAGTTGTGAATGCTTTTTTTTTTTTTTACACTTACTGAGTAAAGTTCAGCAAATGGCTTCTTTTAAAGGTTAGACAAAGGAACTAAGGTGTCTGGAACTTTGCTGACTTTGTAAACATACAGTATTATGCGTGTTAGATTGGTAACTTATTGTCGCAAACATCTGTTTGGGGTTATTTAGTACTTACATGAATTTCTGTATAACTGTCAAACGAATTTGAAGCAAACTTTTAAATTGTTGCATGTTTCCATGAACTTTTTTGGAGTGAATAAACGAGGCTGCATGGTGTCGTCAGAACGTGGCAGCGCAGGCTTTGTTAAGCGTGGGTGTAATAAAATTCTTCTTCTCCAGAAGTGGAAACAGAAAGTTTATCAGTCATGGGAGTTAAGTGTTCGTCATGAAAGAACTTGAAAAAAGCTGATGAAGTGCATTAACCTGTTTCCGAAAAACAGCTCAAGTGTTTGTAGAAACTTTTCACATTTTGGCACTTCCAGCAATCTTTTTTCATACGATATATCAAAGTGTGTATAAAAATATGCAATGGAAACATGACTGATAAGTGTTTGCAACTTTATCAGCTGTATATCGTAGTTATCAGACTCTTTTTAGAGTTTTTAGCCAGGCTATTGCCCCTAGCAAATGTTCGTATGCTCATGAGCTAAAACATGATGGTAGAGATGGTTAAAAAATAGACCTAATAAACATTTACATGTTAGCGTCGTGAGAATTTAAATTGTAAAGTACAATAAGACTGATAACCTACTTACGCAAACTTTGATGTTATTTAGCATCAGAATGACTAATAATTGAGGAAAAATAGCCAACAATTTGAAGGTTTAAGTGGTTAATTAGGTTATAACTCTAGAAATTAGTAGCCGAATTTCCATATAATTGTCAAGTGAATTTAAGCAAACTTTTGGAACGTTGCAAATAATCTAAAACCAGAAAATGTGAGTTGTCTCCATGAACATATTTGGCACAAATAAACATGGTGGTATCGGTTACATTGGCTGTAATGAAATTCTTCTGCATGAGAAGTGGAGCCAGAAAGTTAACAGTCATGTTAATGAAATGTTCAACAAGCCAAAACGTAGTTGAGAAAGATGTTTCCATCTCCCATAAACCTAAAGCCATTGTATAAGCCTTTCAAACTTTGGCATTCCCATCAATCTTTTTAATCTGATTGACAAATATGCACATAAAAATGCATCATGGAAACAAAGCTAGTCAGTGTTTGAAACTTTTTTTCTGTCTTATATCATGATTAGCTGAGTCTGTTTAGATTTTATAGCCCTGATTGATTTTTTAAAACATGTTTACACATGAAAGTACAATGTTATATTAAACATGATAAAAAATTATACATGACAAACATCTTCATATTAGCATTTTTGTGAGAATTCCAGCATACTGACACTAGATTGAACTCAAAACACTGCCGTTTGTAGCCTCACCACCCTGCTAGCATCACTATTGACCTCTTATTAGCAATTAAACAACAATATCTTTACCTGTGGTGACACGTGGTGGGCATTTGCTCTGGTTGTTTGACATTTTATAGATGAAACCATTACTTAATGAGGCAAAAGCAGTTAATGGAGAATGAAAATAATAATTATTAGCAGCCATAATATTATTCTTTGCACATTGCTGCACTTACAAAAGTGTGTGAACATTACCACTGAAAAAATAAGTACTGTGCCGTGCCTGCAGTGTGATGACTGCTGTTCTGTGTTCAGGGATCCTGAACTAACAGTACTGACCTCATGTTTGCCTCCCGACCATGAGCCGTAGTGCTCCATCTCCTCAACTATTTCATCACAGGCCTTCTCTGAAAAGACTGGGAACCAGAACACATCTGGACAAGGCTGTAACACACACACACACACACAAAAAGACTACTGAGAATAGACTTGAATCACACCTTGTCCTGGAGCTGTTGTGACTGTAATGTAATATCCACTCATGTTAAAACCAGATGGCGGGATTTCTGTGCGACATTATGTCATCCTGTTACACTGTCTGTCTTGAAGACATGCAGATATGCACATGTAAATACAAACCTGCTCCAGGAAGTTCTCAGTGAAAATTCTCGTGTAGTTTGGGTGGATGTATTTCTCCTTCCAGTCCTGCAAGTAGAAAGAATTTCAGATTAGTGGACATTTTTTTGGACTGTTTCCTGACCTGCATACCTCACAGAACTAATCCCCTTTCCCCGAGGGCAGTTTCCGGCTCGCCAAATACAGGAGAGAATCACAAAGCCCTATCAGTCAGGAGCCTTATCACACTGAAGTCATTATTTCAGAATTGTTTCACATCTGTAATCCTTCCATTATGGCTAATAACCTTTACAGGTGGCCTTTGTTTATCTTAGCTGTTTCAGAAAAACAGCTTTTGTTATTTTTTTTTTGAGCGTGAAGAATAATGAGAGATCATAATGACTTACCACAGGGTTTTCAAATATCTGCCACAAGTCGTTGTTGTAATGAGAAATGTTATAATTGGCTGTGGAAATGAGCCTCCCGAAGTCGTGACGGTTGGTTATGTACATGAAGACTCCCTGCAGCAAACAGGAAAAGTTTGTTCAGTTTCATAAAACTTAGAGAGGCAAAAAAAAAAGAAAAAAAATCTCCAGTGTCTCAACCATATCTTCATAACCGTAATACATGCAGATCTACAGTACATGAGGACTCATCAGTGGTTTACACTGGCAAACTTGTGGCAAACTACTAAAGAGCTTCATTTGCACAAAAACGAGAATAAAGTCTGATTCAAGTGTGTTTAAACACACTGAAATCAATTGTGTTCAACTTAGATCAAACCGAAATAGACATAGATACCATATAAATAATCTAAGATTATTTATGGGTGTTTATGGGTGGAGGGCTGCAGGGGTGTTGGTGGTGGTGGGTAGGGGGGGGACAGGACAGGGTTGGGAAGTGAGGGGAGAGGAATGGGAGAACAGGAGCAGAGGGGTGCTTGGGACAAAGCGAATCCAGGAATAGTATTCCCTGTACCGTGAAGCATGGGGAGAGGGTTGTGTAGGTGTGGATTTGGACTCACTATCAGACTAGGCTTTGCATAAAACCAAAAAAAAAAAAAGATTAATTAGGGATGGTTTTGCAACCTCCTGGTGTACGTTTCCAAAATGCTAATGTACAAATTCATCTTGTGAAAGCTGTAATTTAGACCAGATGCTTTACGTGAGCGAAAAAGAAATATTGTCGGAGCCTAGTCTGAGATCAGTCAGTGGGTTTAGAGGGAGCAGCTGGTTACATATGTTTGCCGTAAGGGTTTTGCTGTTCAGGGTAAAGCATCAGGACAGGGGACTTGCATGTGGACTGACTCTCTAACCTTCTTTTCTCCTCCGTGATCTCCTCTCGGAAACGATTACAAGAAACAGAACAGAAAACAGGTCTTTCTCTCTCTAGCTGACACAAATCTGCTTTAAACCTGAACTCATCACAATCAGAAAAAAAAAAAAAAGGTCAACATCAATTTCCAAAGAGCTGCCAGTCATCCGAGTTTCTTATGCAAGGACAAAGACAGCAGCACAGACAGCAACTCAGTGTTAAAATGTGAACTATGCGTGTGTAACTGCCCAATCTGAAATACAAATGGTGTATTAATATAATTTCCAATGGAGAATGCATGTAAGAAGCACAAGAAATTCTATGTTATCATTCAAATACCTGCAAATTTACAGAGTTCAATTTGCCCAGCCAAGCAATCTTTAATCAAATCAGGTACAAGTCTTTTGCATGAGAGAACGAGTCTGCCTATGAAATAAATCAAAGCTCAAATCAGCTTCTGATTGCTAACCCATTGGAAATGGATGTTTCAGAATACAGAGTAATCAAAAACAAATGGAAACCTTTGGGGGCCTGAGCATATGGAATGATTCCGGAGAAGGGGAGTCTTTTTCTCTGTGACTGGTCTAAAATAAAGGAGAAGCATCATGTAAACAGGATAACATAAACGATTATTTCAGAAGACAGAGTGACAGTTGAAATATATATATATATATATGTGTCACATACATAGGAACTGAGGAGGAGAGGAAATGCGCCTGCATGAAGCAAGATTCCCTCTGAAGCTGATGTTTTTGTGGGTTAACGTGGGAAGAACGCATGCTGGGAAAAGGAGCGAGCAATCCAAATTTAGTCTGAGTTTGGATCAGGCGTGGCAGCAGTTAAGTGCTGAGCGCAGGTGACATGTCAGTGACACGAAGCACAGCTGGGTGAAGGGCTAGCAAGCGAAAAGGGAGAAAAAAAACGTGTAACAGACGAGAGGGGGTTTCGTAAGATAGCCATCCGGGCGTTGCAACTGCTTGCACTGACTGTGGTCATGACAATGAGGGCAGAAGAAAGGGGAGGATGATGGGATACAAGTGGAGCGGAGAACCTTAATGCACCATAGAGCAACTATAAACAGAGGAGGGTCATGCCTTGATGACAGACAAAGACAAACACTCATACTTGCCAGTCTTTGGTTTCCGTCGAGCTGTTGACTTTTGTCAGCAGTTACATTTTTAAACTAGCTGTGCTGATTCTTATTTTAGTACGTAAATACAGAAAATTTATTGTCTATTATAAATATCCCTCAACGTGGCTATGACCCTATGCAGACATGTTTTTCTAGAAGAGATAACTTCATATTTCCATAACAGTAATACATTCATAATCCTAAAACATGAATCCCAAAAGATGGAGGTCGTGCCTTCTTACCATTTCTCTGGCATTTCTACACAAAGCCATATCTGGGTCCAGTTTCTCCAGAACAAAGTAGTTCCTTTCTTTCAGCTCATTCCTTAAAACACTTCCCTTGACAAGGTATACATGTGCCATGTAAGGAATGTTCCACACACCCCTAGAAACAACAAAACACAGAGAAAGGAAGTGTGCATTTTTTTTCAGCAACCATCAAAATTTGCATTCTTGGAGCGCTGGAGGAGATTTTTGACATTTCACCGCTGATACCATTTATGGTTACAAGTGTGGAAGTTATTGGAACGCCCGGTAGTGTGGTGAAATAAGGCCGCCTGACAAACGAGGTGCTGATCCTTTTGCCAACTTGGTCAAAATGACATAGCAGACAGTTTTTGTGGGTGATTATATTTGGGTTTCTCCTGTGGTGGGTGAGTATTTGTTTCTCTGTGCCAGTCTGGATGCCATTTTCTACTTGTGTTTAAATGCAGACAGAAGTGGTGAACAATGCTTTTCACACCTCAGGATATAACGCTCAGGAATAAATCACCGCTTAGTTAGCTTTGAAATGTGCGTTCTAAGACGTAGCTCAAAACAAAGGGTTTGCGGTTTATGGCTAAATGTGCAACTGTTGTTATTTACAGATCCGTCACTCACAGATGCACGAAAATACAAAAAGCCATAGCCGTACGTAACCTGATTGCCCTTGAGACTTACACACGTTTTCGCTGCACAATGTCAACATAATCCTCCGAGCGAGCGTAATAACCGTCCAGACTCAGGGCTCCCCAGAAGTTGGACCACAGCTTGCTGTGACGAGTGACAAGGGGACCAATTATTTTTCTGTAGGAAAGCAGGAGACAAAGTGGAGAGATGGTAATTCTGTCAGAGCAGATAAAACTCAGTGAATCTCACAGACAGGCAGCCACCTAATGTATTGAGTATTTTTGTGGTAAAACCAGTGTGCTGCATATGAAAGATCAACCCTCCAGCCGGAAAGTTACAATCACTGGCATGTCAGTAACAGAATGTAGAAATGAGTAATGCAAACCAGACCTATGCATCATGCTGGACTAAATTCGAGTTTTGCTGCAGCAGGCTTTTTTTTTTTTTTTAAACCCAGAATCTGGTCTATTTCTCTGAATTTGCATGAAATATAGTAACACAGGATTTTTCCACTGCTGTTCTTTTAGTCTTACAAACCAAAAACCACATTGAAAGTGTTTTTCTTTTCTCTATTAAATAAACAGTGCAGACTTAAAATAATTGAACCATAAATCATAGTGTATGGATGCAAATGGACGCGCTACAGTATACTAATGGTAAATTTTCTTGGTTGAGATAGATTGGACTTTTCCTCCCACAACCCTTTTGCCAGCAAAGAATTCTCATGCTGCCTTTAAATATCCTAGAAAGGCTTTCGCCTCGCATGCCTCCAATAGATCACAATACCATGCCACAGCCACAATGACATCTCGTTTATGGGAAGCTTTCTTCCCCCCATCATGAGCTGCAGAGGGGAAAAAAGGGTTTGCATGTTTGTTTTTTGTATAATGCAAAGTGGCATTTCGGGGTTAGCGCGACAGACTCTTTCACTATTTCCATGTGGCCGGGCAAAAAACAGGAAGCCAGAGCAGCTTATTTTAAAACTTTAATTCACTCGGCTGTAATGTTCCTGCGGTTTTGCCACTTGAGGGGTAAATTGAATGGTTCAATGATCACAACAACTACCAAGGAGGTTTGTTGAACAGGCCCCAGTGTGGCTTCTGCTCCAGCTGCCGTGTCATTACCTGTTTTGCTCAATGAGGAGCTTCACCGTCTGTCTGTTGGTGAGCATGACGTCTGAATCTATGCTGAAGTAGTAGTCGCACGTGGCGTCCTTACGGCAAAGGTCCCTGATGGAACGAAACAAAAACAGACATGGCACAGCAAATGGTAATTTTTCAATCTTGAGTGGATTACAGTCAATGGAATACTTGGAAGTAATCACTGTCACAAGTTCAAATTTATCAGCTTTTAAGTATATGATGCAATTTTCAATTGCAGAGTCAGATTCAGAATTGGACTCCCACTGAGTATCTTTAGACCTCCGGAGGATAATGCGAACTTGATTAGAGACTTCTAATAAACCTTGGGCTTCTTCATTATAGGGCTGTCATGGCCAGTGTATTTAGGCCTGCTGTGCTTTGGATTGGATCTCTATGATGTGGCCTTACAGATTGAATTATTAGAGTGATAATAGACTGTTTCTCAACTTTGAGCAATGAGTGGGAAGCCCATACAAGAGCAAATGGGGATAGAGAGATTCCACCTGTGGGACGGCTGCATCCGACAATATATCAAATCGAGACTCGTCTACGGTCCAGCAAAGGGAGGACACATTATCAAAACCCCAAAAGAGATAAATATTGAGCTGACTACGATCCAAGCAAAGGAAAAAACAAGTTGTCTGAAATGAACACCTGGACATCAAGAAAGTTCATCATCAGGAATAATGCATTACCAAGGGAACAACACATTAACACTGTGAAATATTTATGCTTTGTTCAGCGACAGCTGTTTCCCTATATTGAAATAACACAGGCAGGATTTAGACATTTAAAATGAATTCATGATTAATCCGTGAGACTACATCATGTCTCAAAACTCTTGGGCGGATTGTATTACGGCTTTTGAGTCATGGATCAGGGAAAAATATGGGAGACGGATGCTGATGTGACCGTCTCAGTAACCTGCTCCGTTTACATGAACATACATTCATGTATCTTGTCACTGCAAGTCTACATCGAGATTTAGGGAGTTATTCCACACTGAGGTGGCTTTTCGGTGCAGTTTCTTCATTTCTCTATAAACAGGATTACGCAAAAGATACGAGGCGTTGTTCCAGAAGACTTTCTTTAAAATTGCATTATAGCGCATTAGCCTTGTCGGAGATCTGAAGTCCCCACATGTCCTTCTAATTACTTTAAAAGGGAACAGTGGCAGTAGAAACTGTATTTCACTCTATCGCGGATAAACTTCAATGTGGATACCAGATCAACCATGATCCGTTACACCACTATTAATCGGCGCCAACTGAACCTTCATCTGGTTTCACCAATTTTGCTCTTCAAACCACAGTTTCTGAGAGATGATATATTTATGAGCAGCATACATACATGCCCATGTTCCTGGCCTCTCCTTGGCTCAGATTTTCTTCTGGCCCAACAACCTTGAAACTGCCGAACACATTCCTGTTCTCCTCCCAGAACCTCTGGATGTGCTTCTCGTGGTAAACCTCCTGAACAGGGAGCCAATATTAATGGATTAGAAGCTACATATAAGGAGAAATGCGTTGTAGTGATCTCACAAAGAAAAAAAACTTCTGAGCAGCTGCATACACTCACATTGTTGTGGACAAAAACTTTGAGTTTATCCTTGGGATAATCCAGGGTCAGGAGCCGCTGGAAGAATTCGGGAAGAAATGGAGTCGGCTGCTCGATGAACACTCCGACTAACACGTTTGGATACTCCTGTTTAGATTAGAGGAGAGACAAATTAGAACTACTTTAAACAACCGGCCTTAGTGATGGAACACTGTTTAACATAAATCACAGAGGAATTTGACATTTCTCGTCTCACATAAGCAAACAGTAAAGTCGCCGCAGATGTCTTTCGCCACTTACTCACTCCTACTTAATCCCAGCTTTGCAGTGTACTGTGCCACAAGTTCACATTTAGAATTAATATGAGGTCTACATAAAAATATTGGACATCTTTTGCCTTCACAGAACAGACCAGCTGATGTTAGGACTCTAGCAAAGTCCCACTAGGTAAGCACATTGAAAACACATTCTCAAAATGTTTGTTCAGACAGTCGGGGTTTAAAAAAAAAAGAGAAAAGAAATAAAGCCAAAGACAAAGAGAGGAGGAAAGACTTTCCCATGACACTCAGTTCCAGCCCACACAGCTCAGTCTGGACTGCTGATCCTCTTGACCAGTTCACAGCAAAGGTCTGGGCCAAGGATGAAAAGGGATCCGAGTAGAACCATCTAATTTGTGAGTTCCGCAATTACTGTGTTTTAGGCACAAGGAGGGGGGAACTCATGTATCACCGTGAGGTTAAATTGTCACATCAAGACAGTGGACAGTCTGAAGAAGTGAAAGGAGTAGCAAAAAGGGCAGTGAGCTAAACAAAGGCACTTTTATGATCGCAGAGAGAAGCAACACCTCGGCTTTCATTAAACACAGGAGACGAAACTACAGTGGTGCAGTCAGTGAAGCGGTCTGGCTGGCACTTGTTTGCGTCTTTAGTGGTGTGAAACTCACAGTGACCCAAGTTCAATCCCAAAACCAAAGTACACAAAGAACTGTGCAGGGTTTCCTGTGAACTAGGTTTTCCCCCACAAGAAAGGTCTGGACACAGCGTGGCCAGAGTTTCCACATGACCGGATCTTCCAGAAGTCTATGTCCCAAACAAACAGAGGGGCACAGTCCAATGAAGTGCCTTTACTAAATTACCCATTATTGAAAAGCAGTGTTTTCTGCATTCATTATGGAAGGTCACCGAGAGTAGCTTTAACAGAGATGCCTTTCATGTAGCTGGGTTTGTACTGAATCGGCTCCAGTGAAACTATCGAGGTGCGTTTATTTATGGAGCCTACGGGATTACGGTAAATCTTAAGGGATTTGTGTCCCAATATTAGATTTTGTGACAAGCGTTGTGCTGTTCATATGGCGGGAACACCTCGATGTTAGAAGCGATGGATTTTGTTCCGCTTCAAACAAACTATTTTAAGATTAAAACAATGATTAACTGAGATCTCGTGTTGGCTTCATTGCCCCTCTTGGTGACATTTTTGACAGATGCAACCGCACAGCCGGAGACATTTCCTAGTGCCTGCCATTCTTGCTGTCTATACATTGCCAGCCCTGGCTGAACTCTCTGACAAATTTTCAGCGTAACCACTATAACTTACTATTGTGGATAAAAACCCATACTGAGGAGCCCACTAAAAGGCAGCCTGGTCGACAGTGACACCCCTTTAAATGAGACCTTCTGAAAACCTCAGAAGCCATATCCTGCACCACAGCTGTGCAACGCTTCCTCTTGCCCAAGTAGTTCCCCTCGCACATATGCGCTTTTAAAAGGGTCCAAAAGGGCGAACAGGCACATAACCTATTATTGCTGGAAGCAGAGTGTATGGCACCAGTGGTCCTGCTTATCTGTTCAGGAGTTGGACTCGACTCCTGCTGTCTAGACGGTCGCTGATAGATATATGGTTCATGCTCAAAGACCTGGCAATGCTTCACCCTTTCCAATGTCCGTAGGATTGGAGGCTAAAGACAAACTCACCACAGCAAAAGAAGACAGAAAAACAGCTTACTTCAAAGCACTTACTTTCAACTGAGACAAATCCACAACATCGTCATCACAGTGGCTACAGCCATGTTCATAGTTCCAAGCATTGGGGACATAGTTGCCCAAATAGTTCAAGTACATCTGGAAGGGAAAACATTTAGAGCAGGTNACAACAACAACTCTTAAACACTTTTAAATAATTGGCATGAACGGCGAATGCAGTAACGCGGAATGTTGATGAGCACCAGTAGTAGTTTCTGAAGCATCGCGTCAATGCGTTCAGTGACATTTTTACCTGAAACACAGTTCGACACACAGTGACCATCTTGCACACTCGCGTGCTACAGCTATTTGTTAGCGAAGCTCCCAGTGTGAATGAATGGACGGTTACCATGACAACGTTAAATCAGCATTAGGAAAAGCACGACAACCTACAGTATGGATAATCCCTGGAAAGATGTTGGTTTTTGAAAAACAATAGCGATCAAAGGGGTGGTTTTTTTCTTCCTCATTTGTGTATCTTAAATGTTAATTTGTCACTTCCCTCGCCGCTCTACACTCTGTTTGACAGAGATTCTTTTAATGCAATTAATTATTCTTTTAAAGCAGTTGCTTTAAAAAAAAAAATGCATCAGCAAAACATCTGGCGCACAAAACAACATATGACATAAACAAACACTTTGGGAGGGGGAAAAAAAAAAAGAAGAGGCAAAGCACGGTTCAAAAGACTATTTTACATTGTTATCACGTGGTTCAAGGGTCGATGAAAGACACTGCGATGTAGCGGGTGCCGTTGGTGGTGGGGAGGCCTTCGTGGAGGTGAGTCAGTCGACCCGGGTGCATGAAGCTCCAGCCTTTCCTGGGTGACTCTATGGAGCAGTTGTACCTGTGGAAACGGCAGCCTCCGCCCTAAAATAAGGGGAGATCGAAAGGCCAAATTAGAACAGAAAATTGGATTATAAACTGTGAAATCCTGTGAGGTTAGGAGTATTAGGGAGGAAAATAAATAAGTGGAAAAGTTAAGATGAAATCACATTTGATGACATCCAGATGTTCCAACTGGAGACTCATCCCCCGTAATGCAAACCCTTACCTGAAAGTCTGAGTCTTTGTTATTGAGGGCGATGTTGATGGTGAAGGTGGAGGAGTCGTGGTGGGGCCTCAGGTACGCCTGCCTCTCAGGTGTATATTTTACCACAAAGTTCATTAAAGCGTAACCCTGCCGCACAAAGAAACACATCATAGTTAGTTGACAGTTAGTGTATCTTTGTCCGAAGGAGAATCTGTCCACAACTACCAAAGAATGTCGCATGCATGTGAAAACAGGCCAGAATTTCCACAGTTTGAGCTTTTGCGCAAACAGAGGTGGGGTTCAGCGCTTTTTCTTTTGTTTCACTAACCTTCGTGTAATAGCCAGAGAACACTTTTAACGTGACGGGTGATATGAACTCTCTGATGAAGTGCAGCCACTCTTTATCAAACCCGATTTGCTTCATGTGAATGTCATCCGTCGGCACGGTCTCGTAGCCTCCGGCGATTCGCTTGTCCTGGGAGGGGGGGAAAAAAAAAAAAAAAAAGGAGAGAAAATAAAGCGGGCCGCGGTGTGATTAACGATGGAACAAATGACCCGCCATTCCCCAAAGTGCGCGACCGCGGTTTTCAAAGCGATGATGATGATGTGCCTGCGAGAGTGCATGTGTGTTTCAAACCGCAGGCTGCGCCGTCGTCGGCCCGTGTGAGGCCCAATGACCCGTGCGGGGGAGAGTATCTGTACGCATTCGGTCTCGCAGGCAAACTTTGCGACACATTAATTGACCAATTTCAAACTACATAAAACAGGCCACATGAATTAGACGCCATAAAAGTAAAACGCAACATCATAACCCTTTATTTTGTTGTATTTAAAGGGTGGACCTGGAGAGGATGGTAATAAAATTGTACTCTATACACTAATCTCGTGTTTATGTGTGAGATTGTGTCTGACATGAAGATTTAAAAAGTAGTAGGCCCACTTACAATACATCTGGCGTACATTTAACCCCACGAGTGGCTATAAAAGGTATCTTGAAAGTAGCAGATGATTCCGTCATCCAAGACAACAAAGGGACGGTTGCTCAAATAAACTTTACAGCACAGCATGATGCATTGTTTCCTTTATTCCACTTCTTTGTGTTGGTGTTTGGGTCTGATAAAGCACATCTAACAGAGCACCACTATGATGCATTAAGGGGTTTTATATCTACTGTAATTATCTAACTCAGGCGATAGAAAAGTTGTGAATGCTTTTTTTTTTTTTTACACTTACTGAGTAAAGTTCAGCAAATGGCTTCTTTTAAAGGTTAGACAAAGGAACTAAGGTGTCTGGAACTTTGCTGACTTTGTAAACATACAGTATTATGCGTGTTAGATTGGTAACTTATTGTCGCAAACATCTGTTTGGGGTTATTTAGTACTTACATGAATTTCTGTATAACTGTCAAACGAATTTGAAGCAAACTTTTAAATTGTTGCATGTTTCCATGAACTTTTTTGGAGTGAATAAACGAGGCTGCATGGTGTCGTCAGAACGTGGCAGCGCAGGCTTTGTTAAGCGTGGGTGTAATAAAATTCTTCTTCTCCAGAAGTGGAAACAGAAAGTTTATCAGTCATGGGAGTTAAGTGTTCGTCATGAAAGAACTTGAAAAAAGCTGATGAAGTGCATTAACCTGTTTCCGAAAAACAGCTCAAGTGTTTGTAGAAACTTTTCACATTTTGGCACTTCCAGCAATCTTTTTTCATACGATATATCAAAGTGTGTATAAAAATATGCAATGGAAACATGACTGATAAGTGTTTGCAACTTTATCAGCTGTATATCGTAGTTATCAGACTCTTTTTAGAGTTTTTAGCCAGGCTATTGCCCCTAGCAAATGTTCGTATGCTCATGAGCTAAAACATGATGGTAGAGATGGTTAAAAAATAGACCTAATAAACATTTACATGTTAGCGTCGTGAGAATTTAAATTGTAAAGTACAATAAGACTGATAACCTACTTACGCAAACTTTGATGTTATTTAGCATCAGAATGACTAATAATTGAGGAAAAATAGCCAACAATTTGAAGGTTTAAGTGGTTAATTAGGTTATAACTCTAGAAATTAGTAGCCGAATTTCCATATAATTGTCAAGTGAATTTAAGCAAACTTTTGGAACGTTGCAAATAATCTAAAACCAGAAAATGTGAGTTGTCTCCATGAACATATTTGGCACAAATAAACATGGTGGTATCGGTTACATTGGCTGTAATGAAATTCTTCTGCATGAGAAGTGGAGCCAGAAAGTTAACAGTCATGTTAATGAAATGTTCAACAAGCCAAAACGTAGTTGAGAAAGATGTTTCCATCTCCCATAAACCTAAAGCCATTGTATAAGCCTTTCAAACTTTGGCATTCCCATCAATCTTTTTAATCTGATTGACAAATATGCACATAAAAATGCATCATGGAAACAAAGCTAGTCAGTGTTTGAAACTTTTTTTCTGTCTTATATCATGATTAGCTGAGTCTGTTTAGATTTTATAGCCCTGATTGATTTTTTAAAACATGTTTACACATGAAAGTACAATGTTATATTAAACATGATAAAAAATTATACATGACAAACATCTTCATATTAGCATTTTTGTGAGAATTCCAGCATACTGACACTAGATTGAACTCAAAACACTGCCGTTTGTAGCCTCACCACCCTGCTAGCATCACTATTGACCTCTTATTAGCAATTAAACAACAATATCTTTACCTGTGGTGACACGTGGTGGGCATTTGCTCTGGTTGTTTGACATTTTATAGATGAAACCATTACTTAATGAGGCAAAAGCAGTTAATGGAGAATGAAAATAATAATTATTAGCAGCCATAATATTATTCTTTGCACATTGCTGCACTTACAAAAGTGTGTGAACATTACCACTGAAAAAATAAGTACTGTGCCGTGCCTGCAGTGTGATGACTGCTGTTCTGTGTTCAGGGATCCTGAACTAACAGTACTGACCTCATGTTTGCCTCCCGACCATGAGCCGTAGTGCTCCATCTCCTCAACTATTTCATCACAGGCCTTCTCTGAAAAGACTGGGAACCAGAACACATCTGGACAAGGCTGTAACACACACACACACACACAAAAAGACTACTGAGAATAGACTTGAATCACACCTTGTCCTGGAGCTGTTGTGACTGTAATGTAATATCCACTCATGTTAAAACCAGATGGCGGGATTTCTGTGCGACATTATGTCATCCTGTTACACTGTCTGTCTTGAAGACATGCAGATATGCACATGTAAATACAAACCTGCTCCAGGAAGTTCTCAGTGAAAATTCTCGTGTAGTTTGGGTGGATGTATTTCTCCTTCCAGTCCTGCAAGTAGAAAGAATTTCAGATTAGTGGACATTTTTTTGGACTGTTTCCTGACCTGCATACCTCACAGAACTAATCCCCTTTCCCCGAGGGCAGTTTCCGGCTCGCCAAATACAGGAGAGAATCACAAAGCCCTATCAGTCAGGAGCCTTATCACACTGAAGTCATTATTTCAGAATTGTTTCACATCTGTAATCCTTCCATTATGGCTAATAACCTTTACAGGTGGCCTTTGTTTATCTTAGCTGTTTCAGAAAAACAGCTTTTGTTATTTTTTTTTTGAGCGTGAAGAATAATGAGAGATCATAATGACTTACCACAGGGTTTTCAAATATCTGCCACAAGTCGTTGTTGTAATGAGAAATGTTATAATTGGCTGTGGAAATGAGCCTCCCGAAGTCGTGACGGTTGGTTATGTACATGAAGACTCCCTGCAGCAAACAGGAAAAGTTTGTTCAGTTTCATAAAACTTAGAGAGGCAAAAAAAAAAGAAAAAAAATCTCCAGTGTCTCAACCATATCTTCATAACCGTAATACATGCAGATCTACAGTACATGAGGACTCATCAGTGGTTTACACTGGCAAACTTGTGGCAAACTACTAAAGAGCTTCATTTGCACAAAAACGAGAATAAAGTCTGATTCAAGTGTGTTTAAACACACTGAAATCAATTGTGTTCAACTTAGATCAAACCGAAATAGACATAGATACCATATAAATAATCTAAGATTATTTATGGGTGTTTATGGGTGGAGGGCTGCAGGGGTGTTGGTGGTGGTGGGTAGGGGGGGGACAGGACAGGGTTGGGAAGTGAGGGGAGAGGAATGGGAGAACAGGAGCAGAGGGGTGCTTGGGACAAAGCGAATCCAGGAATAGTATTCCCTGTACCGTGAAGCATGGGGAGAGGGTTGTGTAGGTGTGGATTTGGACTCACTATCAGACTAGGCTTTGCATAAAACCAAAAAAAAAAAAAGATTAATTAGGGATGGTTTTGCAACCTCCTGGTGTACGTTTCCAAAATGCTAATGTACAAATTCATCTTGTGAAAGCTGTAATTTAGACCAGATGCTTTACGTGAGCGAAAAAGAAATATTGTCGGAGCCTAGTCTGAGATCAGTCAGTGGGTTTAGAGGGAGCAGCTGGTTACATATGTTTGCCGTAAGGGTTTTGCTGTTCAGGGTAAAGCATCAGGACAGGGGACTTGCATGTGGACTGACTCTCTAACCTTCTTTTCTCCTCCGTGATCTCCTCTCGGAAACGATTACAAGAAACAGAACAGAAAACAGGTCTTTCTCTCTCTAGCTGACACAAATCTGCTTTAAACCTGAACTCATCACAATCAGAAAAAAAAAAAAAAGGTCAACATCAATTTCCAAAGAGCTGCCAGTCATCCGAGTTTCTTATGCAAGGACAAAGACAGCAGCACAGACAGCAACTCAGTGTTAAAATGTGAACTATGCGTGTGTAACTGCCCAATCTGAAATACAAATGGTGTATTAATATAATTTCCAATGGAGAATGCATGTAAGAAGCACAAGAAATTCTATGTTATCATTCAAATACCTGCAAATTTACAGAGTTCAATTTGCCCAGCCAAGCAATCTTTAATCAAATCAGGTACAAGTCTTTTGCATGAGAGAACGAGTCTGCCTATGAAATAAATCAAAGCTCAAATCAGCTTCTGATTGCTAACCCATTGGAAATGGATGTTTCAGAATACAGAGTAATCAAAAACAAATGGAAACCTTTGGGGGCCTGAGCATATGGAATGATTCCGGAGAAGGGGAGTCTTTTTCTCTGTGACTGGTCTAAAATAAAGGAGAAGCATCATGTAAACAGGATAACATAAACGATTATTTCAGAAGACAGAGTGACAGTTGAAATATATATATATATATATGTGTCACATACATAGGAACTGAGGAGGAGAGGAAATGCGCCTGCATGAAGCAAGATTCCCTCTGAAGCTGATGTTTTTGTGGGTTAACGTGGGAAGAACGCATGCTGGGAAAAGGAGCGAGCAATCCAAATTTAGTCTGAGTTTGGATCAGGCGTGGCAGCAGTTAAGTGCTGAGCGCAGGTGACATGTCAGTGACACGAAGCACAGCTGGGTGAAGGGCTAGCAAGCGAAAAGGGAGAAAAAAAACGTGTAACAGACGAGAGGGGGTTTCGTAAGATAGCCATCCGGGCGTTGCAACTGCTTGCACTGACTGTGGTCATGACAATGAGGGCAGAAGAAAGGGGAGGATGATGGGATACAAGTGGAGCGGAGAACCTTAATGCACCATAGAGCAACTATAAACAGAGGAGGGTCATGCCTTGATGACAGACAAAGACAAACACTCATACTTGCCAGTCTTTGGTTTCCGTCGAGCTGTTGACTTTTGTCAGCAGTTACATTTTTAAACTAGCTGTGCTGATTCTTATTTTAGTACGTAAATACAGAAAATTTATTGTCTATTATAAATATCCCTCAACGTGGCTATGACCCTATGCAGACATGTTTTTCTAGAAGAGATAACTTCATATTTCCATAACAGTAATACATTCATAATCCTAAAACATGAATCCCAAAAGATGGAGGTCGTGCCTTCTTACCATTTCTCTGGCATTTCTACACAAAGCCATATCTGGGTCCAGTTTCTCCAGAACAAAGTAGTTCCTTTCTTTCAGCTCATTCCTTAAAACACTTCCCTTGACAAGGTATACATGTGCCATGTAAGGAATGTTCCACACACCCCTAGAAACAACAAAACACAGAGAAAGGAAGTGTGCATTTTTTTTCAGCAACCATCAAAATTTGCATTCTTGGAGCGCTGGAGGAGATTTTTGACATTTCACCGCTGATACCATTTATGGTTACAAGTGTGGAAGTTATTGGAACGCCCGGTAGTGTGGTGAAATAAGGCCGCCTGACAAACGAGGTGCTGATCCTTTTGCCAACTTGGTCAAAATGACATAGCAGACAGTTTTTGTGGGTGATTATATTTGGGTTTCTCCTGTGGTGGGTGAGTATTTGTTTCTCTGTGCCAGTCTGGATGCCATTTTCTACTTGTGTTTAAATGCAGACAGAAGTGGTGAACAATGCTTTTCACACCTCAGGATATAACGCTCAGGAATAAATCACCGCTTAGTTAGCTTTGAAATGTGCGTTCTAAGACGTAGCTCAAAACAAAGGGTTTGCGGTTTATGGCTAAATGTGCAACTGTTGTTATTTACAGATCCGTCACTCACAGATGCACGAAAATACAAAAAGCCATAGCCGTACGTAACCTGATTGCCCTTGAGACTTACACACGTTTTCGCTGCACAATGTCAACATAATCCTCCGAGCGAGCGTAATAACCGTCCAGACTCAGGGCTCCCCAGAAGTTGGACCACAGCTTGCTGTGACGAGTGACAAGGGGACCAATTATTTTTCTGTAGGAAAGCAGGAGACAAAGTGGAGAGATGGTAATTCTGTCAGAGCAGATAAAACTCAGTGAATCTCACAGACAGGCAGCCACCTAATGTATTGAGTATTTTTGTGGTAAAACCAGTGTGCTGCATATGAAAGATCAACCCTCCAGCCGGAAAGTTACAATCACTGGCATGTCAGTAACAGAATGTAGAAATGAGTAATGCAAACCAGACCTATGCATCATGCTGGACTAAATTCGAGTTTTGCTGCAGCAGGCTTTTTTTTTTTTTTTAAACCCAGAATCTGGTCTATTTCTCTGAATTTGCATGAAATATAGTAACACAGGATTTTTCCACTGCTGTTCTTTTAGTCTTACAAACCAAAAACCACATTGAAAGTGTTTTTCTTTTCTCTATTAAATAAACAGTGCAGACTTAAAATAATTGAACCATAAATCATAGTGTATGGATGCAAATGGACGCGCTACAGTATACTAATGGTAAATTTTCTTGGTTGAGATAGATTGGACTTTTCCTCCCACAACCCTTTTGCCAGCAAAGAATTCTCATGCTGCCTTTAAATATCCTAGAAAGGCTTTCGCCTCGCATGCCTCCAATAGATCACAATACCATGCCACAGCCACAATGACATCTCGTTTATGGGAAGCTTTCTTCCCCCCATCATGAGCTGCAGAGGGGAAAAAAGGGTTTGCATGTTTGTTTTTTGTATAATGCAAAGTGGCATTTCGGGGTTAGCGCGACAGACTCTTTCACTATTTCCATGTGGCCGGGCAAAAAACAGGAAGCCAGAGCAGCTTATTTTAAAACTTTAATTCACTCGGCTGTAATGTTCCTGCGGTTTTGCCACTTGAGGGGTAAATTGAATGGTTCAATGATCACAACAACTACCAAGGAGGTTTGTTGAACAGGCCCCAGTGTGGCTTCTGCTCCAGCTGCCGTGTCATTACCTGTTTTGCTCAATGAGGAGCTTCACCGTCTGTCTGTTGGTGAGCATGACGTCTGAATCTATGCTGAAGTAGTAGTCGCACGTGGCGTCCTTACGGCAAAGGTCCCTGATGGAACGAAACAAAAACAGACATGGCACAGCAAATGGTAATTTTTCAATCTTGAGTGGATTACAGTCAATGGAATACTTGGAAGTAATCACTGTCACAAGTTCAAATTTATCAGCTTTTAAGTATATGATGCAATTTTCAATTGCAGAGTCAGATTCAGAATTGGACTCCCACTGAGTATCTTTAGACCTCCGGAGGATAATGCGAACTTGATTAGAGACTTCTAATAAACCTTGGGCTTCTTCATTATAGGGCTGTCATGGCCAGTGTATTTAGGCCTGCTGTGCTTTGGATTGGATCTCTATGATGTGGCCTTACAGATTGAATTATTAGAGTGATAATAGACTGTTTCTCAACTTTGAGCAATGAGTGGGAAGCCCATACAAGAGCAAATGGGGATAGAGAGATTCCACCTGTGGGACGGCTGCATCCGACAATATATCAAATCGAGACTCGTCTACGGTCCAGCAAAGGGAGGACACATTATCAAAACCCCAAAAGAGATAAATATTGAGCTGACTACGATCCAAGCAAAGGAAAAAACAAGTTGTCTGAAATGAACACCTGGACATCAAGAAAGTTCATCATCAGGAATAATGCATTACCAAGGGAACAACACATTAACACTGTGAAATATTTATGCTTTGTTCAGCGACAGCTGTTTCCCTATATTGAAATAACACAGGCAGGATTTAGACATTTAAAATGAATTCATGATTAATCCGTGAGACTACATCATGTCTCAAAACTCTTGGGCGGATTGTATTACGGCTTTTGAGTCATGGATCAGGGAAAAATATGGGAGACGGATGCTGATGTGACCGTCTCAGTAACCTGCTCCGTTTACATGAACATACATTCATGTATCTTGTCACTGCAAGTCTACATCGAGATTTAGGGAGTTATTCCACACTGAGGTGGCTTTTCGGTGCAGTTTCTTCATTTCTCTATAAACAGGATTACGCAAAAGATACGAGGCGTTGTTCCAGAAGACTTTCTTTAAAATTGCATTATAGCGCATTAGCCTTGTCGGAGATCTGAAGTCCCCACATGTCCTTCTAATTACTTTAAAAGGGAACAGTGGCAGTAGAAACTGTATTTCACTCTATCGCGGATAAACTTCAATGTGGATACCAGATCAACCGTGATCCGTTACACCACTATTAATCAGCGCCAACTGAACCTTCATCTGGTTTCACCAATTCTGCTCTTCAAACCACAGTTTCTGAGAGATGATATATTTATGAGCAGCATACATACATGCCCATGTTCCTGGCCTCTCCTTGGCTCAGATTTTCTTCTGGCCCAACAACCTTGAAACTGCCGAACACATTCCTGTTCTCCTCCCAGAACCTCTGGATGTGCTTCTCGTGGTAAACCTCCTGAACAGGGAGCCAATATTAATGGATTAGAAGCTACATATAAGGAGAAATGCGTTGTAGTGATCTCACAAAGAAAAAAAACTTCTGAGCAGCTGCATACACTCACATTGTTGTGGACAAAAACTTTGAGTTTATCCTTGGGATAATCCAGGGTCAGGAGCCGCTGGAAGAATTCGGGAAGAAATGGAGTCGGCTGCTCGATGAACACTCCGACTAACACGTTTGGATACTCCTGTTTAGATTAGAGGAGAGACAAATTAGAACTACTTTAAACAACCGGCCTTAGTGATGGAACACTGTTTAACATAAATCACAGAGGAATTTGACATTTCTCGTCTCACATAAGCAAACAGTAAAGTCGCCGCAGATGTCTTTCGCCACTTACTCACTCCTACTTAATCCCAGCTTTGCAGTGTACTGTGCCACAAGTTCACATTTAGAATTAATATGAGGTCTACATAAAAATATTGGACATCTTTTGCCTTCACAGAACAGACCAGCTGATGTTAGGACTCTAGCAAAGTCCCACTAGGTAAGCACATTGAAAACACATTCTCAAAATGTTTGTTCAGACAGTCGGGGTTTAAAAAAAAAAGAGAAAAGAAATAAAGCCAAAGACAAAGAGAGGAGGAAAGACTTTCCCATGACACTCAGTTCCAGCCCACACAGCTCAGTCTGGACTGCTGATCCTCTTGACCAGTTCACAGCAAAGGTCTGGGCCAAGGATGAAAAGGGATCCGAGTAGAACCATCTAATTTGTGAGTTCCGCAATTACTGTGTTTTAGGCACAAGGAGGGGGGAACTCATGTATCACCGTGAGGTTAAATTGTCACATCAAGACAGTGGACAGTCTGAAGAAGTGAAAGGAGTAGCAAAAAGGGCAGTGAGCTAAACAAAGGCACTTTTATGATCGCAGAGAGAAGCAACACCTCGGCTTTCATTAAACACAGGAGACGAAACTACAGTGGTGCAGTCAGTGAAGCGGTCTGGCTGGCACTTGTTTGCGTCTTTAGTGGTGTGAAACTCACAGTGACCCAAGTTCAATCCCAAAACCAAAGTACACAAAGAACTGTGCAGGGTTTCCTGTGAACTAGGCTTTCCCCCACAAGAAAGGTCTGGACACAGCGTGGCCAGAGTTTCCACATGACCGGATCTTCCAGAAGTCTATGTCCCAAACAAACAGAGGGGCACAGTCCAATGAAGTGCCTTTACTAAATTACCCATTATTGAAAAGCAGTGTTTTCTGCATTCATTATGGAAGGTCACCGAGAGTAGCTTTAACAGAGATGCCTTTCATGTAGCTGGGTTTGTACTGAATCGGCTCCAGTGAAACTATCGAGGTGCGTTTATTTATGGAGCCTACGGGATTACGGTAAATCTTAAGGGATTTGTGTCCCAATATTAGATTTTGTGACAAGCGTTGTGCTGTTCATATGGCGGGAACACCTCGATGTTAGAAGCGATGGATTTTGTTCCGCTTCAAACAAACTATTTTAAGATTAAAACAATGATTAACTGAGATCTCGTGTTGGCTTCATTGCCCCTCTCGGTGACATTTTTGACAGATGCAACCGCACAGCCGGAGACATTTCCTAGTGCCTGCCATTCTTGCTGTCTATACATTGCCAGCCCTGGCTGAACTCTCTGACAAATTTTCAGCGTAACCACTATAACTTACTATTGTGGATAAAAACCCATACTGAGGAGCCCACTAAAAGGCAGCCTGGTCGACAGTGACACCCCTTTAAATGAGACCTTCTGAAAACCTCAGAAGCCATATCCTGCACCACAGCTGTGCAACGCTTCCTCTTGCCCAAGTAGTTCCCCTCGCACATATGCGCTTTTAAAAGGGTCCAAAAGGGCGAACAGGCACATAACCTATTATTGCTGGAAGCAGAGTGTATGGCACCAGTGGTCCTGCTTATCTGTTCAGGAGTTGGACTCGACTCCTGCTGTCTAGACGGTCGCTGATAGATATATGGTTCATGCTCAAAGACCTGGCAATGCTTCACCCTTTCCAATGTCCGTAGGATTGGAGGCTAAAGACAAACTCACCGCAGCAAGAGAAGACAGAAAAACAGCTTACTTCAAAGCACTTACTTTCAACTGAGACAAATCCACAACATCGTCATCACAGTGGCTACAGCCATGTTCATAGTTCCAAGCATTGGGGACATAGTTGCCCAAATAGTTCAAGTACATCTGGAAGGGAAAACATTTAGAGCAGGTGAAGGATTTCTTTTTTTATTATTATTATTATGTTTCAACAGAGGTCACATAAAACATTTTTATGGTGTGTTTGAAATACCCTCCCCTGAATACAACTGTGGATGTTCAGATTTATAGTAAGGATGAAGGATGACTGGGCAGAGTCGCTTACAGTTCAAACTAAACATGTCAGAGTTATAAATGTCTCTTGTACTGAAGCTTCAATCTACTGTAATCATTCTTTCTCTTCCCTTTCGAAAATCAGCTCTTCCTCTTGAAGTGAATCTGGCAAAATACCTGGAAAAATATAATAAACTAATGGTCAGACATCCAGCTAGGCAGCCCACAATGGTCAGAAACCACTGCGAGGACATGGGTTCTGTGATGTACCATTTACTGGGCTTTTCTTCCAGCTGTTGAGGCCTTTGGGAGGAATGACTCAATAGTTTGGTGGGTTTGGTTCATTACCAAGGAAGACCAGACACAGGCGGCGGAATGAGACTTGTCAGGAGCGAAGGGAAGGAAAAGACCAGAAGAGAGCTCCACAGAATGATAGCAGTATCATACGGACATCCTGCTTTTTCAGCTTACTCTCTCAGACTAATTTACAGAGAGTGATGGCAAAGAGCAAATGGGGAACACATGGACAGAAGTGCTATAGCCTTGTTTTGGCCAGACGTCTCTCCTCCATTTAATATATATCTGGCTTTTATAACCGGGGTTACTGGCAGGTATTTCGTGATGAATGTTAGTTGGATAAAAATCTACAGGGTACGGGCCAACAGAACTCATCTGCAAGTAGGGAAAAGTTCAGTAATTTAACCTAAAGCCAGTGTCCCTATTGAGGATAATTAACTTGAAAGTATGTATGCTGTGCCATAAACAGACTGCATTAGACACGGCTGTAATTTCTTACTCACTTTGGTGTTTCCGTTGCCATGGACAACCACTGGCAGAGAGTCGTATGCTGTGTTTCTGACTCTTACTCGGCCCGTTCCAAACTTCAAAAGCACTTCATCTGCCAAAAAAGGGGAACACAAGATATTTCAGGCCAGGTTATGAAAATCGACTTTCCACATGGGCAACAGTCAAGGTTTACAGCTTCTAAACTCCCAAACCTACAAGTTCTCACATAAATCACAGAGTAAAGCAGCAAAATTACACTGTGCTGCATTAGCTTGGTCCATCAAAACCTATTTCATGAATAGTGCTAATCCTGTCACTCTCACACTGGGTTTAAAATATACAGATTAACAGGAAATTCAATTATGGAATTTGGTTTCTTCGATTTATTTTTTTTTTTTCTTTACCAACGGCTCCATTCAAGTTCTGGAAAATCTGGCACTTGTGGTCCAAAGTCATGTTGAAAGTTTCCTGTAAGACACGAACAAACAGGAATTTGCTCAGTCATCCCAAGATATGTTTCCAGGATTAAATATTGGCTTCGATACAAGACGCTCACCCGCTGTAACGGATCCAAGTATATCTTAGTGTAGAAGAGCTGGTCGTCGTCATTGTCGTGGAGGTTCCACTGGGAAACTATTCTGTTTATGTACGGAGCGTAGCCAATTATACCTGCAAGTAAAAAAACAGTGTGAAACACATATACAGCAGTAAAGTGTAGACTGAGAGACGTTTACAAGGTCATATACAACTGGCAGACTGTTGGTGACAATTATCTGCCGGCTCCATGGTCTGAAGACTTCATCCTGGAAAACCTCAAGGTCTTAAACAAAGTGTGATTTTTGGCAATTATCCCAAGCACACATGAAAATGGGCAGATTCTTTCTCTTCCCACAGTCTGTAGATAGAAAGAGGTGCTATAATGGAATAAGAAAGCTGTAATCTGCAAGTTACGACTGTCTCACAGCTCACTGCTAGCTCAACGTATGCAACTGTGCATGCTACTGGAAATGTACATTCTCATGGCAATCTTTACTCCGCGTCTCCTCTTTCTCCTTCTCTTGCTCAAGGACACTGACCACACGTTTAGATTGCAGGGTTTCGTTATGTTGCTGGTGTGCACCGTTTTGCATCCCATCATTTAAAGAAAACCTCAGACACTGTAAACAAGTCGATGGATAGACATGACATAATCCAAATGGCAGGAACGAGAAAAAAAGTTCAAAGGAAATCATCAATCAACTGGACGTTTTATGCAGATCATATTGCTGCTAGCCGGACCTCCTCTGCTGATCCTGGGAAAATGCTGGGAAGTGTACGCCTTTTGGTCCACTTGTATATGAAAAATCATTCTTCTGTACTTCCCTCCCAGATAACATAGAACAAAATGATCTCACTGCGACGTTCCAAGACGCAACATAAAGCAATAAAACTTGTTTTTTTATGATATGTGTGTTTGGACAGACTTCAGGTTTAAGAAAACTGTTTAATTTGCAGTACTTTGGGTGCTAAAGGAGCACCAGTGGTTTCAAGTGATTACTCTCAACCATTATCTGTTTGGTTAGTGAGTTACTTTTCTTCAGTATGTAATTCATGCCGCTGGAAGTCTCAGTCAAAACAATCACAAAAGACGTAGCTTGATGGTGTGAAGTAGCGTGGGATCGTGGGATTTGTTGTCGCCGCCGCCACTGCCGATGAAAATCAATGAGTTCCTTATGAGGTCATGTGTTTAAGGATTATTCATGCCACGTTTAATCGCATGTATTCATGGTATGTCAATTAATTCTAATTAAATGACCACAAGTGATATTAGCTAGCAAAATGTAAATTGCTGCTGTAGCATTAAATGAGTCCATTACCTAAACTCTGTTAGAAAACAGGAAGAAATTACTTGTGCCAAAACAACTACTGTACAATAATGTGGAAAAACAATCTAATAAAAATTCTATTTTATCCAAAATTTCCATAATTGAAATGATTTTTTTAGCCTGAATATTACATTAGATGATGCTTATGTTTGGGCTTTTGAAGCTTAATGAAGGATATTTACATGTGTAAAAACAATGACCTATCATATTATATAGACAGAATGATAAATGATATATGATCAAAACTACAGTTTGACAGATCACCAGTGATTATAGATATTATAGTGATAAAAACACATTATTTCAACACTTCTGCTGTGAAAAATTCTGTAATTCTACAAGATAGCTCTCATTTAACAAACAAATCTATGTAGAATTACAAATCCTTATTTTCTGTTAAATTATTACTAATTGCATCTAATTTAAAAAAAACAATACATTTTACAGCATTAAACTTGAATAGTTTAATTTGCTAAATAAAAAAGGAAATGTTTGTAAATTCATAAATAATTTGCAAATGTATATTTCTTTTAAAAAAAGAAATATATGGTTATTCATAGTTATAGGTTGTGAAATTTAATATAAGTTTTTGTTATTGTATTGATATTATTGTGTATTGCAAAAATTACGAAAAAAGTAGTACAAAAAAAAAATCCAAAAATTACAGATTTATTTAGTGTACAGGTATTGTAGTTAATGTTATGCGCCAAATAAAGAAACTGTGATCCATTGTTTGTGAGCAATACAAATATTAGAATGACCAAAACAGCAGAATGCCGAGCTATCTACTGTAGTTCACCAACGTCTTCTTCTACATTCTGCACTGTTTAATGTACCATCTGGTGTTAACCATGTTTCTCTGGCAACGAGGGATAAAGGGGATATGATGATGAATCATATTTAACCAAAATTAAATGCACTTTCTCTGGATTTTCTCTTGAAGTCGAAAAATATATAACATGGTCATAGTAATTTCACATACATTTTTAAGGTCGAAATCTGACATATTATACCTTTAAATAAGCAAATGCAGCCACACACAAACACAACCCTCTTAAATCTTGATTTCATCTCTAGGAATCTGGACTTTCTGGGGCACAGCGGTGTGTGTGTCCAGATGCTATAGAACATTCTTGACTGGTCACTTGGGCGGTAGCTCTCGCAACACAAACAAAGCCTACAATTTCATACAAACTGTGGCACATTTGGGGGCCCAAGACAAATCCACATGTCAAGTCAATGACAATGAATGCTAAAAACAGTCTGTGATCAGTCGGAGACAGCGAGGCTCCAATATGGGAGGTCAAACCAGACTGATGACCACAAAGAAAGCAGTAATTCAATGTCCTGAAGACATTGAAGCATGCAGCTGGCCGCACCATTTGGATTATGCATGAGACCTTCCTGTTATTCCCTTCTGTTAAAAATGTGGAGAACTTTTTTCTTTCTCAATCAGAATGTTCGTAGGCAACATAGGTATCTGTGCACACAGCCCTAAGGAGAGTGATCACGAAAAAAAATACACCCAAAGAGAGAAGTATGCAGTCAATATTCACATGAATGGGCTTCTACCAGCTCCTTTGCACTGCAGGCAGGAAATACCTCATGGAGCAGGTTTACAGGGAAAATATACTTCCATTTTACAGCGAGAGATAGTAATAAAAATCCAGCGGTTTTATATTTTAAAGCTAATACCAGTCTGTTGCCAATCCTCACAGCTCCTCCACTCCACTCTTTACACTAATAACACTGACGGCAAACTGCTGCTTAGCCCCCTGAATTCCAACACGGCCTGCAAGTCTTCAAACTCCGACAGCTGATGGTGGAATGTATAAACCCCTGTGCAGTTGTGTCGGTTAGCTGGGTTTACAACACCAGTCTAGCCCAACAGAAAATGTCTAGACACATAACATGAACACAATTGGCCCAACTTGAACAAGTTTTAGTCCCAACAATTGCTTTTCGATCTTATCTCCACATTTGCATTGTGCCACTTACACCAAACTGGGGTTGTTTATTGATGCCTGGGTTATGATTAATCTTCACATTAATGTTTTGGTTCAACATCGTTACTCTGTCTGCATAGAGGGCGTAGCATAGCAGCACTTTTGCAGAGCAGCAGCAGAGAAAACATTCAGACAGGATATTCAGCGGGAGGAAACCGACATGCTCAGACTCCAACACACAGCCACTGCAGTTATGAGTGAAAAAACACAGAATTAAAATAGAAGAGTATCTTTAATGCATGAGACATCTAGAAAAATGTGGCAGAAAGGCATTTTTGTGCGGACACACCTTTCGACTGAGGTCGATTTCCATCCACTTTCCAATGTGCTAACACAACACCGTGCTGCAGATTGGACTGGTCAAAACAGTTCTGCATTTCCATCATATTCTGAATTTTTTAAAAACCCACCTCCAGAGTTGAGGTAGCGCTTGCCACTGCGGACCGACGGGTACTTGTCAGCGAGTCGTTTATCAGGCCATATCAGTCCCTCTGCAGCAAAAAGCACCTTGTGATTGGCTTGTTGGAACTTCCTGAGAATCTCTTCTGGTCCTCCAGCGAAGATAAGATCATAGCTAAAAGGGAGGAGTGAGGATGAAATACAACAGATGAGTATCATTGTATTTATCCTTTAGGAGCAGCCTTTTTTCTCCAACATGTTTATCTTATATCTGACACGCAACCTGGGCCTCTACTTGCCTGAGACAGATAGAAATCTCAATGTAAACAGTAGACATTCTTCTTGAGGGAGCATTTGTGTAGACAAGCATTCTGGGATTGTGCTGGAAAGTATTTCTATGCCAAACGTTAACCCACAAAAGCACTCAAACTGTGCCGATGCATGACCTATGGAGTTGTGTGACAGACGGGGGAAAAAGTGCCTAACACTTAACACCTTTCATCTTTACACAGGCCTCATGGTGACTAGTTTAAAAGCCTGCTATTATCCAAAGGGCAGATATTTTCATGTGTGGAAACTCCTAATGTTTCTGGTGATTTCATCACTTCGAGGTGTGAAGTTAAAAGAATAAAAGAGCCGACTCATTTTGGTCACACCATTTCCACAAAGTCATCGACTATAAAACGCCCTTGCTAGATGTGGCTTTTATTCTATTTGTGTGTCTGTTTTTGTTTTCTTTAAAACTGGCAGATCCCAAAAAAACATCCTGTACTTTACACATACAGTAAATATACATTAGCTCATGTAAGGCAGCAGGAAAAGTGAAAAACATGTCATGAGAGGAATGGAAGTCTAATGTGGGCGAAGACGACTGTACGCTCAAACCACATCTGGTAGACACATGTTCATATATAAGTACCCTCCATCCCTTGTTAACTCATCAATCAAAGCTGTATCTCCAGTATAAAATGACAAAACATTCTCGTCAATGTTTAAAACTGAACCGTGGGACCTTTACATATAAATGTCTGTAACATCCTGGTCCTTGACAGACGAGTTCACAAGATGCTGATTAAATGTATCAATGGCAGATAAGTCTCTTTGTATTTCACAGTACACCAGAATCTGGTCTTTGTGGCGGCAGTTCCAAGCTGATGCACCGCTAGCTAAACGCTTTATGTCAGTCAATAAAATCTGGTTTGTCAGAACTGAAGAGGTGAGCGACTGTCGTGGCGGAGATGGAGTACGCTACTGGTAGTGCAGTGGCGGAAAACCGAGGATGTGGCCAGGAAAAACTTCTGATGTTACCAAACCAAAATACACAAAGAATCCCCCTCAGTATTCAGAACAGAGCTTCTAATCTAAAAAGAAAAATGACTGACAGCGATGGTACATGTCATAAACAAGCAGTAGTTCCACACACTGCCAGAAGGGGGAGACAAAAGTTCTGCACTGCAGGAAAAAAGTTTATTGTATGAAAATAAATTAAAGTCCCACCACACCAGGAAACTCTTTGTTCCATTCTACATTCTTTTTGCCAGTATTTCCTGTGTTAGCATCGAAGATGATTAATTAGCTTTTGCCGTTTAGGGTCGCAACTAACAACTATCTCAACAGTCGAATAATCTATTGATTGTTGAAACAAATAATCGACTTAATAATGAATAGCATAGAATGTTGTCAGATATTTTTGGCCCGTAGTAACTAACAAAAAAATACAATGAAGATGCTTAGTGTGTGTTTTTGTTATATAGTCGACACTTTTTGCGATCTACTGCTATAACACTGCAGTTTCCAACACGCAACTTTATTTCATTTAACGACTGCACGTAGCATGCTGTCATGCAAACCCGGAATAAGAGGCGCAACAGAAGACTGGTAAAAACTTTATGGATGTGTTGAAACCACTGGTGGATTATTGTGTCTAACTCTCTTCTTTATAGAATGATGACAGCATTAAGATTGATTCCTGTAGTTTCTGCGATAGCTTAGCATGGACGTGGTACATTCTTGACACATTGTTGACCTGTGACTTGGTGGAATGTGAGATGTTTCTGGTGGACTTTCCAGCTATCATAGACCTGGTGAGATCCAGGATCGCAACACACTGGTGGAAACCCTGCTTAGTTTCTTTGGCTCACCATCAGTTTACCTATGTGGAGATCAACAGAGGCTTTGTCCCCAGACTTTGAGAAGGTGGTCGCAGGTAGTAGGAAAGCACACATTGAAGCCCCCACCTAACTAAATTCAGTGGCAACTAGCAGATTCACCCAAAAAATGAACTGAATTTAATCAGAGACTGGCAGAATGTAAGACTGACTTGCGTTTAAAGCTGCACAGACACAAGGACATGAGTCAGTGCCGAAGGTATGTTATCACACACAGCGCAGTTCTTCGTGAACCTGGAAAACTGTGGTATTTATACATCGCATGTCACCGCTCCATTTGATTTTTACCACTGATGCGGTGGCTTGAACCCAGGTCGCACCCACCAAACAGGAGCACACTTATCTAAAAGTGTTGTGCAGCAGTGTGAGTAAACATGTTGTTCAGCCGCCTCACGAATTTAAAAGTGGAAACCACCATCTCTCTAATTCCATCCTACCATTAAAAGGTGTGGTGTTGGGGAATGAGAAAACCTGTCGAAGTTGTTAAATTTTCCAAGTCCAAACACAGTTAGTTACTATACATGCCAAATTTCTGCTAATTTCAAGTGTGAATAGAGAATGACTGAAGCATAGCTAACTCACACGTAACGCTCTGGCAGCAAATGGCAATTGTGGTCTCCATTTAAGGTATGCTGCTTTTGAACTGCATGCAGTCATTTTCTTTTCATCTTGAGAATGTAGACAGTCAGAAGCTCAACAACACGGTGCATGAATCTCGGTTTCGCTGACAGTTTAGCGACTAAATTTAACATGAGACAAAGTGTAAGGCTGCGTCTATCTGAAGCAGAAACTGTCAAAACACCCGAGGTGGTCCAGCAGGATTATAGAAGTTGAAATACATTCGAATGGCTCGTAATCTTCTGAAGTGCAGAGGCAGTCTATTAAAGTACAATCACTTCCTCAAAACGAGAAAAAAAATTACTTTCCAATTACCTGTTTCAAGGGTGTGATAACTTTGCACAGCAATTATGGCTAACATTATTCACGTGACATGGTACAGTAGTATCATCATCTCCTGCTCTATTTAAGGAATATGGCTTTCAAAGCCCTTATTATTCTAAACCACTCACATTACTTCAGTGAAACTTTCCATTGGCCTTCAAAACTCATAATTCAGCTACCTGCATGTGAGAATTACTCTCCTCATATATTTGGCGATGCTCTGTAATAATGCCGGTGCATGAGTGACTGAAGGGTGGTTTAGCACTACATAAATATGCAGAAACACCTCTCACTCAGGAGATATGCCTTTCAAAGCACTTATTACAGTCTGTGACTGTGAAAATTGGTTTTAATGTCTAATTCATAGCTCCACGCGACAATTAAAGGTGTTTTGCATCTCTTTCTTGTTATGGAAATTAAAGCTAAATCGGATCAAAGCTCAGTCAAAGTGATGTTTAGGTAGAAGCTGAACATCTCCAAGAAAAGTAACACATACAGAGGCGAGCATAGAGAAACAATTAATAAATCAAATAGCCAAATCAAATAATTTGATCTTTTATTCTTGTTGATATTGTCGGCTGCAGTAGGATAAGGGACTTCACTTCTCTGCTTAATTTTAAAATAGCATGTCCCCTGGGAATATTCAAACATATCAGTGAGTGCTTATAATTTGTTTGTTTGGTTAGTTAATTATTGAGGCTTTGAGACATATTTTCCCTGACAAAATAAATCCTCTCATCCAACAAAGCACTGACTCTGTGTTATGCAGAAAAGGCAAACAAAGGAAAGGCAGCCCCAGTCTAAAAGTCACCATGATCATGCAAAAATCTGACATGTACAGCTCCGTTAAAACAAAAACAAGCACAAATATCTTCAATTGTCAACGTACCTGTCCACAGACAGGACAACAAGATCCTCCTGGTCAGCCAGATCCTCCATGGCCTTCTTCAGTAGTTTGACTTTTTGCCCTCCACCAATAGAACGGCCCACGTCACCACCCTTCCACGCTTCTCCCATTCCCAACACCTTAGATAGAACACATGATGAGCAGAGTCTATGAACTCCAAAAATGACAAGAAGACAATCTTGCAGCACTGTGAAAACATCCATCTTCACAAGTCCTCTATTCATTTTCTTTTAGTAATTCTGTCAATGGCAGTAGATATAATCTTCAATGTGCAAAAACTTCAAAAATAAAGGCTCAGAAGTGGAAAAAGTCCATGAATGTTAAGGAAATTATACTCCTTTCAAGAAGCTGGGTTAACAAAGCTGCTTTGGAAATGAGTAAACAAGTTACCCAATTAGCCAACAAAACAACAACTCCTTCCTATTAATGCTGTCAGAATACACTTTAACACCATCACACTAGTTTATTTATTTTTCTAAATTAAAAAAAAAAGCACGCAGCTGCAAGGAATCTGTAAATGAGAGTGTGAGCCTTGGAGTTTAAGGTGGGCTGATAATCCACGTGGGCCGAGTTACCTGTGGTACTGAGGTAACACCTGAGTTGCAGGCAACATGTCAGATCCCTGTTATTCTATCTTTGTGTTTTGAGGTTTTGTGTGCAGAAATGAGTGCCTGCAGAAACAATGTAAGCAAACACAGAATAACAGGGAAATTGACAGCGTAAACTCTAATTTAGAAAGTTTTGTTGCAAGTAACTGCAAACTGGTGCAGCAGCAGAATTACACAGAGAGGCACAAGAGCACGCTATCATGGGCAGGAACTGAACTCCAAGCTTTTTCTCTTTTTTTTAACTACTTGAGTTCAACCACAGAGGGGAATTCTGGACCCGCACTGAGGAGTATCCCTTTAAGATGGATGTTTTTGCAGCTTGCTCCACTTCATTGTTTCCCTTAAGAGGCCTAATCAATCCTGGGAAGTGTGTGTTTTCTGTGTCGCCGTGTGTGTGTGTGTGTGTGTGAGCGGCGGACTCATTAACTGGGACAAACTGCAGGTCTGTGGACATAATGTTTGAGAAGAAAGTCTTACCTTCACAGTGTAGTTGAAATAGTTAGCAGACTGCATGAAGCGGCGGAAGCCATCTGTTTCTTCTGTTGCGACAGTTAAGACGAGCAATTTTTCTGAAAAAAGGAAGGGTAAAATTTTCCATAACTTCACTTTACGACTGGATATCATCACATATTTTTTGTCCACCAAAATTATAGGGATGTGAGGATACAGTCTTTCAGATGAAAACTTGTGACATTTTAAGTTGCAAAAATGTTGGCTCCAATTGAAGGATATCCACAGATATGTGTATATTATTCTAAGCTTAAATATAAGTATTGAGATTCCCACTTCTGTGAACCATGTCCCTTGTAAACCTCAAACCTATGAAAACACACTGGTGACTACTTGGTTGAGCAGTCTGAAGCTGTGTCTCAAATTAGGAACGACTACTGTAGTTTTAATTTGTTTCAAAAACAGAACCATATTTCAAAGACACACTCAATAATTTCTTCTCATGGTGGGACAGAAGAACTCCCACAAACCTCTAGGACATTTCCCATGACTGTGAGTGCTGAAATGTGAGGTTTGAGGAAGGGTTAACCAAATGCAAATTTGCAGCATGGTCTTGTGTGAAGCTACAGACAGGAGTAATACGCTCACTAAGCTAGCTGTTACTTGATCTGATAATGTTTTGTAAAAACCATCCCGGGGTGGCTTTAATCACAAAGGTTCTGTCTGTTATTGTCTAGGAAGGGAAGTGCCCTGAATCTCTAAATCTTGTTCATCAAACACTGTGATTGCATTAAGGGGGATTTCAAAATGTGCAAAATGTTCTATGCTGGTTGACAGACAGGCCAACAAAAAAGTTAATGACACTTTAATATGGTTTTATAAGACTACTTGAACACTAATCCTGCTTTTCATGTTTGGAGAGCCAATCTGCCCTCTATTTAATATACAGCACTGTGTTCCACTAAAGCCTAGTAAATTATTTATTGGACATTGGCAGGCAGGATTGAGAGTCTGAAAGAATACATATCAGGGTCCTACAAAGGCCTTGAGAGGACCTAATTCACAAGTGCACTCTGCTCCAGAACATAGTTAAAAAGCTAGCAATACACTTTTGGAATACAAAGATTAATATGGCAACAACAATTTGCAATTAGTCTGAACTTTATTGATCTTTTTTTTGTCTTGTTAACTGCATACTGAACCTCCCAATCCACATAAAGACACAAACTATAAAGAGTTATAGTTCAAAGAGTATATGTTTGAACAACATGTTCATGTGGTGTAACCTTCCAAAAAAGCCAATATGGCTGCCGTGGGAGAAAAATGGTTATAACTACAACATCGGGCCTTGGTGGGTGTGAAAACAACACATCCTGAGCAACACAAGACGATCGCAAATGACTCCTAAGATTACATATACGAGAGGAAATGGGGTAGTATAAGAGCAACACATTCCACGACTAAAGAACATGGGCATGGTGGGGGTATTATCATTACATCACAGGACCCTCACCCGGGAGTTTGGAGCCTATGTGACCATTATTTTTAGACACAGTTGACTTGCTATTGGGTTTTACTGCCTTTCTGAAGAGATTTTACAAGCACTTGATCACGTGACTACATGAGGTCATCGGCATAGACACGGCCATTTTCACCCCCTTAAACAATCTACCAGTATTGTTTTTCTGGTGAGGTCGGACTGCAGGTTACCTAAAAAAGCTTGAGGTTATACAAAAAAAAAAGCATAGAGCTCTTATTGTAAAACAGTATTTGTCAGCATTTACGAGCAGCCTCCTTGCAAATGTTTTCCACTCTTTTCCCGTCAGTGTGACTTACCCATTCTCTCATCTCCGTCTAGTCTGCGGCCCTGTCATCACTATAATAGCCTTTCAGTACTCTACTGACCCAAAGGTTCTGTTACAGGATAACAGCAGTCGTCTGTCTGGCTCTATCCAAACAGTATTGCATGACACCTCTAAATGAACTAGACAGATTTTGAAGAATGCAACTATAAAATCAAACGCTGCACAGGGGGAAGATACAGCTATTCTGAGCCACAGGTGTTTTCTGTACTTGTTCTTGGCTTAAAGCGAGGAGATGCTGGAGCATTTAGTACCGCCAGGGGAAGATGTTTCCGTCATCTGGAAAACACATTGCCCATGCTGCCATAAAACAGGTGATTTTAATGTTTACAGAGGTTTTCCATGTTTCCCATTTCCTCACACCAGACAATCACATTGGCAAAGTTTAAGCCCAGGTCAGACAATTTGCATGCTTGAAGACCAACGCTTCTGGCAAAATAAAAAAATGGCATAAATCACATCAGTCACTTTATCTTTTCTTGCTGTTTTAAGCAAACCTTTAGCAAAGCTATGGGATTTTTTATTTTTTTTTAGGTATGATGAATTGTTTTAATATGGGCATAATGGTGCGCACTTCCAGACAGTATCTCCTGGAGGCCAGTCATAGTGTTGCACGCACAAAAAGCCCCCCAAACAGCAAATAAAAAAGAGAAATGTTCCGAAACAGTCAACACAATCCCCACTTCCCCCTTTGTGCACTACTGGAAAACTGTGGTTGGAGGTTTTTTGAAGCTATTTGACCAGGCAACAAGCAGATCTGATGCAGCACTTTGGCACCTTCTTCTATCTTCTGCTGGGATTTCTTGGCAAAGTTTGAAAACCGCTATAAAAAATTCTCTGTTGCATGATGACTCGATTACAGCCAGGACAAATGTTTAGTATTTCTCTTTGCAGTAAACGGAATTCATTTCTCTGCTCTCGTAAAACGTGAATTAGTCACCGGTAGCTTTGTTTGTATTTGTGTAATAAAAACGCAGTGCCGAGCTGCACATTGTGATCTCCTCGGTTAGCAGGGACCTATCTATTCTGATTTCTTCGGCACTAAAATGTGAAGAACAATGCTCTAACACATGCACTGAGAGGAAAAAAAAAATTGGCTTGCCTGTTCCGTCAGGCTGACATTTCCCATCAGGAAGAAATATACTGACAGTTAACACCAATTACCCCTCTATGACTTTGGCCTGACCTTACGGAACCGCACGCTCTACTCCTGTCATAAACATGCAGGCCACATGAGTGCATCCCAACATGCAAAGCTCCCAGTTAAGTACAGCCTGGGGATGCAAACCACCTTTGATTTAAAAGAGATGAGACTTGCACTTTTATTTCCTACATTACAAGTGTTATTCAAACACTTCAGCGAGTCTTTTTCATGGCTTTTCCCAACACAATCATGGGTGGGAAAAAAAAAATCCCTTGGGATTTGCAGTGGCCTCGTTTGAACTCCAGCTGGCAACCTCACTTGGATATCATGGCATTGTCTCCAAATAAAACACAAAGTGCATGGGGAAAAAATATGATCTGCCAATTTAATGCCAAACCAAAGGCATTTATCCATTTTTTAATGTTATGGTAAACCAAACTGGCAGCATTAAAGTAGCATTTTTAAGAAAAAAAACTGATGTTCACCCGCATTTTGTCCTCACACAGCTAAAATTTGCCGTGATTGTTAAAAAACATGCAAATGGATCGTTCTTTCAGGCTAGACAGGCAAACTGTACCCACTTCACTGCACATTTACAAAAGGTTAGTGATCTTTTTTTGTATGCATGTTCAAAATATGACCACAACAACCTCATTCAAAGCAGAAATTTTGCTATTTTTGATAAGTGCAAAGCTATTCTGTTTCTTTCTTTTTGTCCGACAACACTCTTTTAGCTTTCAGTGCTTCCAAGTTTGATTTAAACCAAAATGTACAAAAAAGTTACCAAAAACAACTATCCTGTCGAATGCTCTGGAAGCATTGTGAGATCACACACAGGGTTTTTGTACCGAATGAAAACATTGCGGGGAAACAGCATTGTCATGCTGAGTTAGCACACGATTGCAGGATTGTGCTGGTTAGCAGTATTTTTAGTTTTTATGTATTTTTTGTAAACCGCTCACAATAATTAGTCGGTTACTTCAACACAGTGTCACACAAACAAGTGTATTATCTACATACACATGCTAAAACATATTAGTACCACAATAAAGGCTGTCAAATTGTGACAGGCCTACATCTTTGGGGGGCTTTTCTTTTCGACTGACTCCAACGTTTCTTTCACTTCTTTCACTTTCACAGCAACAAAGTCTGCACTAGGATGATGATGGGGGCATACACTGCATGACCTTTAGTCCTCAGAGTGTGTTGTGGCATTTTCACGTGGTGTTTACTTTCGTTTGCTGTTTTGTGTCGCTGTTGTCTGCCATTCTTGATTACTTTTGCTTTTTTTTGCGCCACAACACTAATCTGCTAAGGAAACGATCACAGTTTGGGTTAAATTACAGCTGTGCAAACGCTTGTCAGTCGCTGTTTACTTTTGTTTTTAGTTGCTGTTTGCGCTACAAGACCCCTTTGTTAAGTTTAGGGATTAAAATTATGAAAAGATCATCAGTTTGGTTCAAATACAGTGGTGCAAAAACTAGCATTTGTTGTCAATTTTGGACTAACGTAGCTAAAATACATGTTCTTCAGAAAATGCATCGCTCATCCAGTTTAACCAAAGTCTCTTATTTTATTTCACCTTGTCTCCAAACTGTGTCAGAAGTCCCAATAGGCCCTTTTCATTAAACATTAGGGCCTTATATTCTCAAGTGATGGCTTGGCTTTGTATTGAGTTACAAGTTATTGGGTGAAAAGCAGCTCATTGGAATGATTTAGGCTATTAACAGAAGGCACATAAAGCTTCATTGTTTCACTCCTTAGTGGAGAGAAAACAACTTTTTGAGGACAATGGAACTAAAAATCTACCTTTCTATTCTTTCTCTCTGACCTCAAATTGAATTTTGAGACTGTCATTCACTGTTTTGTTAAGTGAAAACCACAATCACACTTATAATAAAGCATAGCTGAGGGACAGATGGCAACACTCTCACTGGTTTTTATCCAGCTGTGATTTTGGAGGATGAGTGTCTAGTCAGGGTAAACACAACATGTTCTCTTGTCAGTACTGTATGAGCAGCCCACAGGAGGAGAGGAATGTAGCTCATACGGTGCTGCCGAAGCTCTTCTCCAAAAAAGGCTTGGACGCCAAGTGAGCCAAGTGGTCTTTCCT